AAAAGGATTGGTCTGAGTTAGTTGATTTTATATGTCAGCCACTGTTGCTTTATTCCTCGTAGAAATAAGTTTCTTTTTACGTTACTATATTTGAATCTATAATAATTTACTTTGGTTTGGGGAAAGTTAAATATCAGTTGCATTAATTTAAATCTATAAGGATTTACTGTTTCAGGAATAAGTAAATATTGTGTGTGGGGGTTCTATTTGAGTCTGTAAGCATTTATTTAGTTCGGCGATAAGTAAATGTTGGATGTTTTCTAGTTGAGTCTGTAAGTATTTACTGGGTTCCGAGGTAAGTAAATACAGAAGAATCCCTCATATCCGGAATGCTTCATATCCCAAATCTCTCATATCCGGAATCCCGCATATCCAGACATGATTTTGATATGTGTATTTGAACCATTTGGGTGATATCTAACTGATTTGAAATTTCTGTTTTTCAGGAAATTTACTTTGGATAATTGCTTATACTTATTTCATCCTAATGACTTGTATTGGTTCAAAAGATGATGGGAATAAAAGGAAAAGAACAACTTTGAAGTTATCGCAAAAACTAGAAATTTTAAACAGACTAGACGCTGGTTAAAGTTCATTGTAACTATCATAGGAAAGTCAACATTGTATGATATAAAATCTTCCAAAGAAACTATTCTTCAGCGTTCACACTGTCACAATGAAGAAGGAAATAAAAAACATGGTTGTGATGAAACCTGGACGGAAATTGAAAAAGCTATTGAAAAGATTATCATTTTTATGGAAAGAAACTCAGCATTCATCTATGACGATTTCAATATCGCACGCAGAGTTAAAATTTCAAGAACAAAAGCAAAACGAAATGCGGAAAAAGTTAAGAATGACATTAAAAGAGAAAGAATCATCATGCAACAGCGATTAAAAAATCCTCGTTACATTATTTTTTTGCATACGTGGCATACTTAATTTAATGAATTTTCATTAACATTACCAAATTTATTTCTTTTTACTTAAAATCAATTCCGTTATATTTCACTCGCCATTAGCTTATTTTGTTTACTATAAAACATTGAAAATAAATGTTAAAGCTGATTTCAGTTCTTTTATTTTAATCTAAATATAATTCCTCATATCCGGACTTTGTAACCAATTCCTCATATCTGGAAGGGCTTCTTGGGATTCTACTGTATTAATCTTTATAATTGTGTCCCTAAGCATTTACTTGGTTTGTGGATAGATACATAATGGAAGTTTATATTTGAGTCAAGAAACATTTATTTGGTTCGAGAATAGGGTAATAAGTTTATGTTTGAGTCTATAAGCATTTTCTTGGTTGTTAACTTCATTTTATGGGTTTCTTAATTCTCTGTAAGGGATGTAGTCATGGTTCCAAAGACAGAACAGGATCTTCAAAAATGGCATTGCAAAATGTGTAACTGGACAACTGTGTCAGGTTCAAAGGGAAGCACTTTGAAGTGGACTGAGGAATCATTGACGTTGGTAGGCTATTTTTTGCTAATATGAAACAGAATTTAGATACAATTTTTAATTTGTTATAGTGTTTGTTCAATGTAAGTATTGGCACATACTTAGATCAAACAGACTTAGAATTATTGTACGGCTTGGTATTTGATTGTCTATAAAATAGCAGTTTTAACTGAACTGGGAAGAATTAAAAATAAATAGGAACAATAATATTTAATGTTGACTCAGAAGAAACTTTACCGATGAACTTTTTTGAGTCGTGTTAAGTGAACGCTGGAAATAAAAGGCAGACGACAGACTGATTTATCGCCCCGCCAAAATTAAAAAAAAAACAAAACAAAACAAACAAAAACAAAACAACAAAAAAAAAAGAAAACCAAAATTTTTTATCTGTCTCCTTCATGTTTTTTTTCTCTCATATACTATATTTTTTTTAAAGACAGAATGGAATTTCTATTACTGAAGAATCCTAAAATAACTCATTCTTATGTATTTTGTTTTTCTTTTAGATCCATTTCAAATCGTTCCCTCGGGAAACATTACTGCATTTTGATGAAGTCCTTACGTCTTCTTGCACATTCATCCCAGTTTAAGACGTTTACTGACATTTATCTATTTTTCTTGTCGAGTTTGTTCGTACACACCATTACAGGTCCCAAGTTCTAAACACTTCTCAAGGTGGACAGAGCGAGCCGAAGACACTAATCATCAGGCAGTACAGTGCCTTCATTACGCTTTAATTTCTTGCTCATTATGTATTTATATCATTAATAGTTACAGCTTTCCCTATCCCGGCATTTATTGTCAGCTATTGTCACCGTGTATGTGTGTGTGTGGGGGTGGGCATGTGAGTGTGTCACGTGACTGACTGAATTTCATGATGGAGACGGCAGCCATGTTAGGGCCTAATATAATTTGCGTGTTCATTACTGGAGGTAACACATGGTCGCCAACAACCACGACAATAACTAAAACAGCAGCAGCAGCAGCATTAATAAAGACGTGCAACAACAACAACAACGACAGCAGCATCAACATCAACAACAATGTGCAATAACAACTGAAAGAGTCGGAAAATGGCACACGGTTTGTATCAGACGTTAACTTCGTGGAGGTTCTGATTGAGAAACATCATTCCT